TGTCCGCCCTAGGGCTCCCTGCATGGCAGGGCTTCCTGGGAGACAGCTCAGGGCCATCCACCCAAAACCTCATTTTATGGAGCAGGAAATGGGTTTCTTCCTCCCAGCCCACCCCCACAACTGTCTGAGCCAGGCAGAGAGCCCCAGCCTCCCACAACATGCCACCCGGCCATGTGCAGAAGAGAGCACCAAACCACCCCTGGTTCCCTTCCAAGTCCTCTCCCCACGCAGTGCCTGGGCCTCTGCTCCAGGTAGGGCACTGGGCAGGCACAGAGCAGCCCCCACGGCTCACACCCAACGGCCGCCAGTCAGCTCGGCAGCCCCTGCTGGTGTGACCGGAAGCCCACCTCACTGAGCCTGTCTGCCAGCCACAAAATGGGGGAATTGTCTGTGTGGATGCCCCACCCCCACCCCGTATACCTCACCAGGTGGTACTCGCCTGCCAGGTTAGGTGTCCCTTGGCTCAGGGCGCGGAGTTAGCCCACGGAAAGCTCTGCGTGCAGGTTAGCTCGTAGGTTTACTGATCACTACCCCCCACCTTACCCCCAGAACCTCGGGGCAGGGGGCTGAGCTGGTGCACCCCCTCCCGCCTCCCTTTGCTGGGCTTCTGAGGACGGTGATGAGTTCCTCTGTCTGAGGTTCAGCCAGAGCTTGGCAAGTGGTGTGGGGCGGGGTCTGGACTGGGGGCGTGTGTTAAGTGCCAGCCCCCCCGCCCCACCCTTTGGGCCCTGGCTCCCCATCTACAAAGTGGGGGCACCAGCTGCCAGGGCCAGTGGCTCTGCCTCCACTGGGAAGGACAAGGCCTGGCCCCAGGGCCCTGGCCAGTGTAGGCAGCTGGCCCAGGTACGTCACTTGGCCTCTGACGCACTGTGTCCCCCAGAGCAGGGCAGACTTCCTGAGCCGTGCAGGACACCAGTCCCTCCAAAATGAAGGTCTTCTTGCCGGTGCTGCTGGCTGCCCTCCTGGGTGTGGAGCGAGGTGAGGTGCCCCTGGGCCTTTGTATGGGCTCTGCCCCACATCTTAGACCCGCTTGGCCCCTTGTCTCGGGAGCAGATAGATGCCCAGTGGTCATCTGGTCATCAAAGCCAGTTCCACGTGACCTTCTCTGACCTTCCAGATCCCTCTTCCCCAGCGGAGGGGGCTGCTTCTTCCACCTGCCCCCCTTGGAGGCCTCTGCCCCCGCCCCCCGGCCCATGTCATCAGTGTCATTTGGGTCTCACTGTGAGCTCCTTGATGGCCAGGGCCCAGCACCCTCGATCTTAATCCCCGTCTCTTGCATAAGAACTGCCTACCCCCAGTTGGTCAGTCATATCTGCCAACAAGAGGTGGCCCAAGCACAAGGGCCAGTCTCAGACTCTAGGGCCAGGTGCAGGGTCTCAGTGGCGGGCACAAGGTGGGGGGTTCTCAGCTGTGATGAACCCCTCCCCCTCCCCTGCAGCCCACTCCCTGGTGTGCTTCTCCTGCAAGAATCAAAAGAGCAATTTCAACTGCCTGGCACCGACCATGTGCTCCAGCTCGGACAACTACTGCGTGACCGTGTCCGCCTCAGCTGGCATTGGTGAGTGGCGTGGGGGCCGGTTACCACCCCCAGGCCCGGGCCATCCCTGTCCACCTGCGGCCAGGCTGTCTCCTTCCACTGATGACCTCATTTTCATGCAGGGAACATGGTGGACCTTGGCCGGACCCTGAACAAGTTCTGCTCCCCAATCTGCCCCGGCCCGAGCATTAACCTGGAGGTGGTGTCCGTGAGCACCCACTGCTGCCAGAGCTTCCTGTGTAACATCAGTGCGGCCGGCGGGGGGCCTCGGGTCAGTGCCACCGTGCTGGGCGGCGGGCTCCTGCTCAGCCTGCTGGCAGCGCTGCTGCGGCCCGGCCTCTGACTGAGGGGCCGTGTGCCTCCCGACATCCCCGTTCAGGAAGGAAATCCCACCCCGCCCCCCAGACCCCTGACCCCAGCAGGATGTCCGAGTCTCCTCTGACTCCTACCCTACCCCGTCCCACCTCGGCCCAGGTCCCCACGGCCAGGGCCTACCTTGCGCTTGGACCTGCCCCATGAGAAGCCAGCTGCCCTCTTCCGGGGAAATGATGTGACCTCCAGGGCCCCGGGAAGGGGTAAGGCTCCCTGTGGAGCCTGAGGGTCCCAGGATCAGGGCTGAGCCCACTGCCACTGGACATGCCAGGTGTGGCATCGGTGCGCGTGGGGGGGGGCTGCTGTGGGAGGGTGGGCGTGTTTTTTGTGTGCACGGGTGTGTGTGTTTGCTCCTTGTTCCTTTGCAGGAGTTAGTAGGGGAGAGTTTGCTTGGGGGAGAGGGGGCTCCACCACCCAAGCCTGTTTTCTCTGGCATCTCCACCCCCCCCCACCATGTTTCACTCATGTCAAGGGTAGCTTCTTAGGGTGCAGGGGCTCCCACTGCTTCCTGACCCAGTAATCTGCCCCCACCTACACATCCGCCTGAGCCCCTGCATGCCCTGAACATCCCCACCACATTCCACCCCCTGCTTCCTCGGTGCCTCAAATAAACAGATGTTTCCACTGCTGACTGCGCAGCCCGCCCTGCCTGTAGACCCCACCCCACAGGGGCTAGCTGGGGAGGGGCCTGGGGATCCTAGGTCCCCCGTGACACCTGTTGGGGCAGTGGGAGAAGAGAAGCAGTCACCCTCAGCCCCCAGCCCTGTATCTTGTGCTTTCTGCCCTGGCGGGGGCATCATCATTCAGACATCCCCGCTGCTGGTGGGGAAAATCCTGGCAAGGCCTGACTGCAGGAAAGGCAGGGCCTTGCTGGGACCCTGCAGAGGGAGGAACGGGCCGACAGGAGAGAAAGTGGGGGCCTCCGGGCAGGGGTGAGCATGTCCCTGCAGGTGGGGGCCTGTGGGGTTAAGGCAGGCCACTTCCCGTTTGCAAAGCTTATTGTGGGAACAACGGGAAGTGGCCGAGATCAACAGATTGCCTTCAGGTCTCAGTGTTTGCTCTTGTGGTCAAGGAGGGCCTGGATTCGGGCTGGCCCTGGGTGAGAAGCAAGAAGGAGCAAACAGTGGGACGGACGAAGCGGCTCTCCCAGGGTTCCAGGCCAGCCACGGTCACTTCAGTCTTCAAGGCAGCCCAGGCTTCTGGTTAGGGCAGAGCAGACAGGGTCTGAGCCCAGGCTATGCTCATCCGCTCAGCTCCAACCCTGCTATCTCGGGCCAGCCAGAGCTGTGCTGGGCGTGTTTCTCCCGGTGGCGTGGGACAGAGGTCACCCCCAAGCTAATAGTAATAGTGCCATCTCTGGGGTCCTTGAAACCAGAGGGGGCTGAGGTGGGGCATGAGGAGTGTTGCCTCCGAAACACATGGAATGCGGTGTCCTTGTTGCCCTAAAGGGGCCTGCAGGTGGGCTTGGCCAGCACACGTGGCTGGGGCAATGGGGGTGCAAGAACTGGCCAGACTCCCCAGTCCTGGAGCCCCAGGGTAGGAATACATCCCAGACAGACGGACATCAAGGAGCTAGAGGTGGTGGGCCTGAGAAGACCCCTACCCCGAGTAGGAGGGGAAGGGAGGCCGGGCAGAGCCAGCTCCTGGGAGAGACCAGGAGGCAGGCAGAGCCGCTGCATGGGGACCGCGGCTGAGGCTGGGTGGAGAGGGAGAACATTCCGGTTCACTGGAGTGGGTCAGAGCAGGATGAAAAGCAAGAGGATGAAAAACAGAAGAGGTGGAAAGCAGGCTGTCCCTCCAGGGGCCCCGGCGGCTCTGTCACAGGTGGGGTCCCGCATCCCCACGTACAATGAATTTACAGTGCTTTTCACCGAAAAGAAACTGCAAGTTTCCTTCGTACAGCAAATGAAATTGGTGAATTGTGGCCCGAAGGCGAAGTGGCCGGGGGTCGGATTGGAAGAGGAAGGTGCACAGAGGAAGCTGAACTCAGGGGTCAGGGGCTGGAACTGAACTTGACCCTGAGGACACCGGGAGCCTTGGACTGTGAGGCAGCTGACAGGAATATGCTCCGCTGGGAACCCTGATTCAAGCTTGCTCCTCTGGGCACCTACGACCTCCCGGGAGATCTTAGTTCCTTACCCTCTTCTCAAAGGACACTGAGGTGGGTATGGTTAGTCCCGTTTCCCAGAAGGGGAAACAGGCTAGGGGCCCGGTAGTGCACCTGTTGGGGGGGCAGGGGGCGGTGTTTCCTCTGCTCTGGGTTGGGGGACAAAGTCCGTTTAGGGCTGGGGTCAGAGCAGCCCGGCCTCCTGGGGGCAGTTGGTGGTCCTGCCTGATTCCTGCTGGAGGCTGGGAGGGCACGCAGCGCCCTGAGCAGAGGGAGCCTGGGACGTGCCTGGGGGACCTGGGGGGGGAGAGGGAGGAGCCAAGGGCTGTGCGTTTCGATTTCTCAAAATCAAGAGCCGCTGCCTGGAGGGGCCGGCCGGCCGGCCGGGGGGGTGGGCGGAGCCTCAGACATCGGGAGCTGATGACGGGGAACCGGGTGGGTGGGGAACGGGGAGGGCGGGCCTCCTGCAGGTCCTCCGCCCCCTCCCTGGCCGGGCCTGGTCTGACGAGATTCCTTGAGTCCTGACTTTAGCTCTGCAAGTGCGCCCCCTGCTGGGCCTCCTGCGCCCAGCACTGCCCCACGCCGGGGAAACTGAGGCCCAGAGAGCCATGGCCGGGCCCAAGGCCTTGGGGGGCGGGAGAGGGAGCCCCAGGGTCTCCCGGAGTCTGTCTCTTCTCCCCTCTCTTCCTGCTCAGGGCCCTGGAAGTGGGGGGAGAGGGTTGCCTGCCTCCCCACCCAGGAAGAAGCTGAGTCTGGAGAGGCGAGTCCAGCGGATAGGGACGGGGCGGGAGGGGCGGGGCAGAGGTGCGTCCGGGGTCCGGGACTCGGCCCCTGGGAGCCCCGAGGTCCCACGGGCAGCCTCCTGCCTCAGTCAGACCTGGGTCCGGCCACGCCGGCTGAGCTGTCCTCTGCCTTCCCCCAGGTCAGCCTGTTCACAGAGCAGACTGAGGCTCAGAGGGTACACCAGGGATAACGGGGCTCCCCTACGCCGTGGCTGACCAGCACAGTGACCCCGAGGAACTGGATGGGAGGGCCTAGCTGCCTGGGCCGTCACTCCTCCGTGTGGGGGAGGGGCACTAGGGGCGACTGGGCTGCTTGGGCCACAGAGGTCCTAATGGAGGGGCCACATGTGTCCTGGGTCTCCCACAGGCTGTGTGTGTGCGGGGTGGGGGCTGGAGGGTAAAAAGGGGTCTGGGGGGAGTGGACACTGACAGGACGCCCTGCCTTTCTGACTGTCCACCACCCACTGCAGCACGCCCCACCCACTCCTTCTGGGTGATTCTGGGGGGGAGCTTCAGGCCCAAGAGACGGGGGCCTGCAGGGGACCCCGTCCACATGCCCAGCCACCTGGGGTCTCTGTCCTCTCCTTGCTGGCTAGCACTGCCCCTGAGCCTCGCCTGGTGCCCAGGTCCTCCTGAGACCCACTGGGCAGGACCCCCACCCCCAGCTGCTGGCACGGGGTGCTGTTCGCTGCCCATCCTCCAGGACTCAGAGTTCGAGGCAGCTCTGCAGAGCTTGGGCTTCCGAGTCGGTGGTCCAGTCCTCCATCCCCTCCCCAGTGCCTCATGCGGGGGGGGGGGGGCGGGTCACCAGCCTGGCCGAGGGGCATCCAGGACGCTGCCCAGCAGGCCACACGGCCTCCTGGCGCCTTCCAGAGCTTAGGGTCCCAACAGGCAGGAGGACAGCTGGGACCGGTTGTGGGTGGGGCACGGTGGGTGTGAGTAGGGCACAGGCCATTTGTCTGTCCTGTCCACTCTCCGTCCCTTCCCCTCCCAGTCCGTGCGGTGCGTCCACCCACCCACCAGGTCTTCCGGTGTGGAAGGACCCGCTTGTCCTCCTCCTCCTTGGCCGCCAGGGGTCGCAAGGGCCGACCGCAGAGCAATGGTGGGAAAGCAGGTGGGGCTGGTCCAGAGAGGACCGAGCCTTGGACAGTTCCCTGGTGACAAAGCGGCCAGGTAGGGTCCAGACCCTGGGAGGTGGCCCCACGCAGGGCTGACCCCAGGGCCGGCCGGTGGGGTGTGGGGGAGGGGAAGAGGGAGAAGGTGTAAGGGGAGGAATTCAGGCAGGAGAGGGGTGGGGAGGCGTGAGGAGAGGCGATCTGCCCCCAGCCTCACCCCCACCCAGCAGAACTCAGGCCCAGTCCCACCCAGGACACGTGAGCATGGGACTCCTCCCGCGGGCGTTGCCCTCGGCCCTGGATCTGCAGGGGGGAGAGAGGGGTCCTGCCCACTGGCATGCACCTGGCCAGGTCGGCGCCCAGGTGTACCGGTGACACTCCATCTCCTGACTTCTCCCCCGTTTCCCTGTACCTGCCCACAAGTGGGATCCCTTTGGAGGGTAAATAGTAATTTCCTGTCCCATCTCCCTGGGCTGCTCTGGGACCTACTGAGTCCCAGTTCTCTGAGAGGGAGCCCCTCCTGCTCCGGCCCCTGGAGGAGAGCAGGGTGGGGACAGGGGTACAGTAGGGGCTCCTGAAAGTCCTCCTGAGGGCCTGGTGGGGCTGGGCACTGCATCCAGGAGCGTGTGGGTGGAAAGACTGTGGTAGAACTGGGCGTTAGAGCCAGCTCTGGGCTGGAGGGGGTATCCCTGACCACAGTGTCCCTGTCCACGGTGTCCCTGTCCATGGTGTCCCTGTCCATGAGTCCCTGTCCATGGTGTCCCTGACCACGGTGTCCTGACCATTGTGTACCTGACCATGGTGTTACTGTCCACAGTGTCCCTGACCATTGTGTGCCTGACCACGGTGTCCCTGTCCACGGTGTCCCTGTCCACGGTGTCCCTGACCGTGGTGTCCCTGTCCATGGTGTCCCTGTCCACGGTGTCCTTGTCCACGGTGTCCCTGACCATGGTGTCCCTGTCCACAGTGTCCCTGACCATTGTGTGCCTGACCACGGTGTCCCTGTCCACGGTGTCCCTGACCACGGTGTCCCTGTCCACGGTGTCCCTGACCATTGTGTCCCTGACCACGGTGTCCCTGTCCACGGTGTCCCTGTCCATGAGTCCCTGTCCATGGTGTCCTGATCATGGTGTACCTGACCATGGTGTCCCTGTCCACAGTGTCCCTGACCATTGTGTGCCTGACCACGGTGTCCCTGTCCAGTGTCCCTGACCACGGTGTCCCTGTCCATGGTGTCCCTGTCCACAGTGTCCCTGACCACGGTGTCCCTGTCCACGGTGTCCCTGTCCATGAGTCCCTGTCCACGGTGTCCCTGACCACGGTGTCCTGATCATGGTGTACCTGACCACGGTGTCCCTGTCCACGGTGTCCCTGTCCACGGTGTCCCTGACCATTGTGTCCCTGACCACGGTGTCCCTGTCCATGGTGTCCGTGTCCATGAGTCCCTGTCCATGGTGTCCTGATCATGGTGTACCTGACCACGGTGTCCCTGTCCACAGTGTCCCTGTCCACAGTGTCCCTGACCATTGTGTGCCTGACCACGGTGTCCCTGTCCGGTGTCCCTGACCACGGTGTCCCTG